GGAAGTGGATGCCGCTCCTGCTTCCAGGCTTGATTTAGTCGGGAAGCTCCAGCCAACACTGTCCACCATGGGTACCTGTTACCACGATTGGCACATCACTGTCATAGGCTTCAGCATCACAGCAACCACGAGTTACCTCTGTACAGCAACGCACAGACCAGTTTCACACGTTAGGCATTTAATATTTGTTACATATACTCATATGTTAATACATTGCTACTAGAATATGTAATGCTTTCTAGGCATTTAAATGATTCTCGTAATGAGCCTTATGTTCTGAATGTCAAGTGTGTGATTCACCTGTCTTTCTGTGTTTACCAGATCTGAACAGTGTGGCAGCGACAGCTCGTGTCCTAGTCATTGGAGCTACTAACCGGCCAGACTCGCTAGACCCTGCTCTGAGACGTGCTGGAAGGTTTGACCGAGAAGTATGCCTAGGTATTCCAGATGAAGCAGCCAGGGAAAGGTATGGTCTTCTCAAATCAACGTTTTATGCCCCTAAGTCATCTGAACTAAGTATTTGGTAGTTGAAGAATCTTCTCTTGTTCTTTCTGTACAGGAGAAATTTGTTTGGAAGGAGGAAGAGACATTCAGAGTTTGTGTCTAGGAGAGCTACCTGCCTATCAGCAGGGCAGTTGTTGCATATTTATTTGTGTTTTTCCTATAGTGATAATAGTTTTGCATTTCCACACTCGTTTATCAGGTTTTTTGACAATGGCTTTTGATCTGCTTGTTGGTATAGGGATAGTGTCTGGAGCCCTCGCACCCAGCAGTGCTCACTGGCCCATGTCAGTAAATTGGTGAATCTGAGTCCCATGCTTGAATCTGTTGCAGTCGCCTGCCTGAGACCATACGTTTTATGACAGATAATGAAATGGCAGCCAGCCATTCCTCCTAGGGATCTAACCACTCTGTTCTTGGGCCTGCTAATCCATTGCCATTGCCACACAGAACTCACCAATCATGCTCACGCTTATGTTGTTCAGTAGGGAAATGAACAGCTTACAGAACTGGTTGGAAACAGAATACGATTTTTCATTAAGGATACTTCTCAGGTATGCTTGCAGTCCTTTGACATTAGCCATGAGCTCTGAGTCAGTGTCATGAAGCTCTTTCAGCCCTGCTGGTTATGGCATATCCCTCCACGTCCTCCAGTACGTTTAGGCCAAAGTCCCCTGGCACTGGGCTCTTGGGGCAGTAGTTCCCATTCAGTTCTTCCTCATGTTCGTCTCTGGTTCTCAACTGCTCTACTCTGGTTTGCTCTTTTGTCCCAGGCTGACTTGCACAGGGATCTCCAGTCCTAGTGGACACACACTCACTCCAGCTGGAGTGAGAGTCTCTTTCTCTGCTGCTGAACCTGCTCATTTCAAGCCTAGTGGGATTGCAGAATTAGCTAATCCCCTCATTAGAAGTCTGATACCTTATTAGCATGCTCTTGTTCAAAACATGTTATTCACATCATTAACATAGTCCCATCCAGTCAAGTGTTGAAAGTAAAAAACAAAAAAAAAAACCTACCAAAAAACAACAGATGTCTAGGACAGCCATTTTGAATAATAAACCCATTGCACCCCTCAGGGCTGGCAATTTTTACTGAGACAAAGAGAGGATTAAATTTGTATTATGTTTGGATCCTGCCAGGGAGGAGTTGTTATGTAACATTAAGTTAGGACCAACTTCTAGCGGACCCTCCAGTGGGTTTTTGGAGGCTTTAAGAGGAGATTGCCCATTTTTTTCTTGTGTAGCAGCTGGTGGATTTGAACTGCCTGCCTGCCTTTGTGGTTGCAGCCAGCTTCATAGCACTTAGCCACCAAGAGAGCAGGATTAAAATCTGAAAGGTTTTGAATTATGAATGGAGAAGGATTTTTGTTGTTAATTTACTTGTTTCAATGGAAGAATATTTCTGACTGAATCTGATAAAGACTGCAGTTTTCTTATCTTTTTACTGGCAGATAACACTATAAGCAAATTATAAAAGTGAACATCAGTAATGAGACAAAATGAAATATGCTAGCTGAGAGGGTGCAGTAGGAAGAAAACAGTATCACTTCGATGATATTCTTGACAGAAATGTATATTATTTTGTACCATCAATTTGGAATGAACCCATCACTGACCCTCTCACGGGTTTTCAGAGGCAGTAAATCACATTGGAGGAGATAGCCCATCTTTTGTAGGTATTTACAAAATAGAATTAATCTGTTAAGTTGATCAGCAGAATATGTATGTAGGGACTTGAATACTGAAAAACAATCCCAAGAGAGAAATAGTCTCAAGTTTCTAATTACCTGAACAGAGGTAAACTAGCTAGAAAATCAGTAGGATTCTCAGACTGTGTTTCAAACTCACAGAAACTCTTTGCTGTTGAGTTGGAACTTATTTAAAGCTGGTTCTAACCCTTCAGCAAGTTTTCCAAGGCCGAAAATCCCATGGTAGAAGATCCCCCATCTTCTCCCACGGAGCTGCTGGTGGATTTGAACTGCCGGCAAGGCGCTGTTGGGGATCACAGTGCAGCTCCCTGAAAACCGTGCCCCCAGAGCACCCTTAGGCAGTGTGGAGAACCGAGATGAAGCCAAGAACAAAACCACTGGCTTCAGTTGATTTTGACTCATATGGATCCTAGAGGACAGAATAGAATTTCCCCTTAGTTTTCCAAGACTGCAGGGTTTTCATGGTTTCTGTTACTTTTTAAAATTTTTTATTGGCTTGCATATAATCATTCATATGCATCATGTTTACATGCTGTGTTTTTATACAATCATTGATACATGTTTTATATAATTAATTACCATTGCTGTATTCCTATTATTACCCCTGTCTTTAAACCTCCATTAACCTTTTTCTGTTACTCTACCACTAACCTCTGCTATCCCAGTGATATTCCCCCTTCCCTTTTGCTGCTCCCTCTTTCCCCCCACTTTCCATTTTGAACATTTATACACATCTTATTCAGTTATCTTCCTGTTTCACAATAGTGGCCTCATACTATATTTGTCCTTATATGACTGAGAGATTTCACCCAGTGTGATGATCCCTCGTTTCTCTCAAGTTATATAGTATTTTACAAAATCATTGTTGCTTAGTGCTGCGTAGTATTCTATCGTGTGGATGTCCCACAGTTTCTTGGTCCATTTAGTTGTTCATGGGCATTTGAGCTTTTTCCATTTTCTTCTGATTGTGAGTTACGCTGCAGTGCACATCAGTGTGCACATGTCCATTCATGTCTCAATTCTGATAGCTTTGGGATGTATTCCTAGCAGCAAAATCGCTGGGTTATGCAGGATTTCTGTGCTCAACTCTTGGAGGAAACTTAAGGCTACAGTCTTTAGGAAACAGACTGCTTCTTCTTTTCCCCACAGGATGGCTGTTGGGTATAAACTTCTGACGTTTTGGGTTGTGACCAAGGCTCTTTAGAATTTAGATTAGTAATCAGCATTGTAGAAGGGTGTTGATAGGGTTGATCTTATTTCAGCAGTTAAGACTCAGCCAAGGAGAAGTGAATAGTTGGAACTGAAATTGATAAGAAAGCAGCCCTCCACTCTGGAAGTCGGCTGGCTGTCATCTTTGATGGTGGTCTCGTCTTGGTGGCAGTCAGGCAAGGGAAGTCTCTGGGGTCCTTTTTGTTGTGTGTTACTGTTCTTTTCCCTCCTCAAAAGTGAGTAGCCCTTGAGCCTTAGGTTAAGGGTAAGGGTGGAGGCCTTTTCGAAGGTGTGGTTTTAAAATAGATGATGAGGCGATGGATCTGTAGGCTGGCATGGGGCATGGGGCCTTGGAATCTCCCTCCACTCTGGAAGTCGGCTGGCTGGTGTCTCAGTGGCACTCGTCTTAATGACAGTTAGGCAAGGGAAGTTTCTGGGGTCCTTTTGTTGTGTGTTACTGTTCTTTTCTCCCCTCAAAAGAGGGTGGCTCTTGAGCCTTCGACTAAGGGTAGAGGCTTGTTCGAGGGTGTGGCTTTAAAATCCTGCAGCCTTCGGGCCAAATTTATTAATTTTAGAAGAATATTTCTTAAAAGACACAGCAGTCATTTGCCTATTTGCTGTACTGAACAACTCTAAATGAGACCAGTGCTGTTGTATTTGGAGGAACATTCTTCCACTTTGCACATCACTCTTTGTCAATGTGCTGTATGAGGTAACCTGGGTTTGCTATGATGCTGAGCCTTATGCAATGGGGATATCAAATACCAGAATGGTTTCCCATTGTGGACAGTGTTTGGTGGAGCTCTCAGTTGTAAAACAGGTTGGGAAGTAGGAGTGGAATCCACTTCCTAAGCTACATGCCTCTTAAAACTCTGTAAACTTGGAGAAACACTACAACTATGGAAAGGCATTAGGTATCTTGTTCATAGAGTCGCTCTAAGTCGATCGTGACTCGATGGCAATCAACAACAAGAAAGCAGTAGATCATGGACTCATTCTAAAATGTAAAGATATGGATGGCTTGAGAAAATGGTTAGGTGAAGAACCAGTTTGAGAGTATGTGTGGGAGTAATGAGCATGTATACTGAAGCAGTTGGAAACTGTCAGAGGTGTGTAGTAGATTTCAGAGGTGAGGCCAGGTGTGGCTGTGAGAGCGGATAATGAAAATGCTTGCAAATGGCTGGGAGGGTTGGGCTGGGTGGGGAGTTAAGTTAGTGGCAGAAATGATCTGGGAAGCTCAGCGCTCTTAACATAATGTCCTCATGCCTTCTATGGACTTTATGTGTCCAGGCCTTTGTTTATTTGCAATACAGTGATGATGATAATACCTTATGGGAAGATTGTAATAATAATACCTAATCTTGAAGGTTTCTTGTGAGAATTGATTAATGTACTTAACATGGTAACTGACATATAGAATTGGTACCTATTAGTGATACTCTTCTGAATATTTTTTTAAAGTATGGAACACTTTACAAATTTATGTGTCATCTTTGTGCAAGGGGCATGCTAATCGCTATGTCTTTCCAAATTTAGTAGATGTGCTGCTAAAGTGAGCAGTCTTCTGAACTTTTAAAAAGTGTTTTATTACAGGAAATTTTCAACATTCCTAAAATGAGGTGGGGAAGAAAACCCATTGTTGTTGAGTTAGTTTCAACTGCTAGTGACCCTAGAGGGCAGAATGTAACTACTCCATGGGTTTTCTTGGGAGGTCTGGTGGCCTAGTAGTTAAGGAGTTGCACTGCCAGCCCAAAAGCAGGAGGTTCAAATCCACAGCTGTTTCTCAGGAGAAAGGCAGCCTCTCCCAGAGTGATTTGCAGCCTCTGAAAATTGGCTGCAGGGTTGGTTGATTATAACTCTGTTGCTGTATTTGTTGTGTTAATTGGCCTGTAAACGTTACAGAAACCAACCGCCACATCTTCACATCCTGTGAATCAGCTTGGCGGTCAGAACTGCCAGCCACTTCACCACTGTGTTAACAGGATTCCTCGTAAAAGGATTTGTTCTAGTGTCTGTGGCTGCAAAACAAGCCTCTCCAAAATGTTAA